TGAGAGAGGAGTAGTCCCACATTGACTAATTAAGAGGAAGATCATAGGTTCATAAACAAGGAATCCTATCTCCATTGGCATAAGGCCTTTTGAGAAAACCAAAAGCAAAACCATGAGAGCTTAGGTTCAAAGTGGACAATATCATACCATTGTGAGGGTTCTGGTTCCTTTCAAACCCAATTTGCATCATTCTCAGTTTGTTAATAATGCGTGAAATCTGTAGATGTTTATGTGTTACAAGCTTTAAGATAACATATTTTTCTTGATTTAAGTACAGAACATTCTCATATCTATGAACACCAACATAGGTTCTTGTTTATTGAACTCATTTGACAAAGCTTTATGTTTGTGTTGGCCAAGAAATTCCAGTATTTAGATATAAAAATACCGCTTTTAGACGTTGTCTGCATCAGATAATGAGATTGGTTTGGTTTTTTTCCATGTTTTCTAAGGCTTCTCCAACTTCTTCAGTGTAATCTGGAACCATTAGCCATAGAGATTAAACTATTCACAGTAGGAGACATAGCTGATGTGTTTGAGCGGAGATCCTAGAAGTGGTAGCTTCAACTGATAGTGGCCTTCTTTAAGTACCTCATGTAGCATTACTTCCCTTGTTGCCTTGTCCTTGACAAAACAGTCCTTTTTTTAGCTAAACGAGCAACCGTCAAAATAATTTGAGGAACATGAGAAACTTTTGAGTCTATTCCCATTCTACCTATAGTTAAGAGGCATTATCATGATATTCAGATATATTCAGCAGCGAAGCAGTAGCCCCATTCAGCCAAAGAAAGATAGTGGGGAGTTGACAGAAATGGGCACTAAAAAGTTCCGATCAGTTCTAGATCCAAGTGGTAGTATTAGGATTCTTAGCTATTGTTCTCGAGAAATGACATGATTTGACCCATTCCTTGAAAGTTCTTACTTCTTGTTTTTGTATAGCATAATCATAAGTATAGTGTTGAACAGGTTAGCGTAACTATTGAGTTCTATGATGCACTCATGGAGTTCGTCATTGATCTTGGAACTATGAAAAAAAAATATGCTAGATGTGCTCAATTGGGTGAACTTTTTGAATTAGATTATGCTACTCGATGTTAGGACCTTGTTCGAAGAAGTTTTTGCTGGGATTGACCCATGGTTAGATCCCTAGGCTTACGTTTGTTTCATGAATCCCAGGTACTCATACATCTTGGTTATTCCCTTAAGATTTTTGAAAAATTACAAGTTCGAGGAAGGAAGAAGGCGCATGGGCTTAGGCGCGCTAGTCCGCGAGTGGGTGAGGGAAACTTGGCGTGTGGCAGCGTGTGTGGGCGTATGAGAGCATGTGCGGGCACATGGCTTAACCCATTTCATCCGGTTCGACTTCTGTTTACATATTCTTTAGTCCTTCAATACTAACCTTAAAAATTATTAATCGAATGATTCATCAGTAAAATTTAGAAGCAATTAACTGGCCGCTTTAAGTTTGAAGTTGTAAATGGTTATGAGCATGTTCATTATGCAATGGGAGGTTCAAGATTCACGACTATTTCATCTACATACTTAAGGGATTCCATTGTGACAATGCCCGTTACTAAGCTAGATGAGCTGATGCACAGGCATTTGGTCATGTCTGTTCAGTCAGGTTTGCATGTCTTTAATGTTTAGTTTGTGTAGCCATTGACTACTAGACTGCATAGGAAGATCTACGGTGGACAGACATTTGCCTTTTATTTGGAATTGGACTCGTGGGGCCTTCATGGTGGATTCCTTTATAGAAATGTCGTGCAAATATGAATTAAAAATGCTAATTGAGAGACTTATGTAGGGCTTCATATTTGATGCCGATAGCTTGTTTTCCACCACTCTAAAAAGTTATTATGGCTGTTAGGTGAGTCCCATTCAAATGATCTATTGGGGTGTTGAGGGAATTTTGATGCTAATGGGTAGATAGTAATATTTCACTTGGTTTGTTCCAGTCTCCTAACCGCTAGTAGGTATTGTTTTTTTTGGATTTTTCCTTTCGAACTTCCTCTCAAGGTTCTGCATCTGCGAATGAGAGGTTTTCATTCACACCCTTATAAACAATGTTTTATGTTTTGTTCCCTTCTTGCGAATGAGAGGTTTTCATTCACACTCTTATAAACAATGTTTTATGTGGGACTTGCCCACCGCTAACAAATATTGTTTTATTGTTTTCTTTAGACTTTTTCTTTTGAGTTTCCCCTTAAAATTATTAATACGCGTTTATGATGAAGAAATTTGTACTCTGTTTTAATTTTTGATGCTTTTGCACATAAGCTTCAAGTTAATCTTCTAATTTGAATCGTTAATCTTCTAATTTGAATGATTTAGATATGTTGAAATTCTATCTTAGAAATGATCAAAATTTATGATGAGTATACATCTGTGAGAGTTCAATGATGAAAGCTCACTATACCTTTTGATAAGGAAACAATTGATCAAGAAGTTAGCTGAATGTCACAATAGTTAGACAAGTGATGCAACATAACGAAGATCCATGGGTAAAACCTTCTATATACTTTTCCAACCAATACAAGCAGATAAATTAACATTTGGCCTTGCCTTCCAAGATCTGTATCACATTCAGACCCAAATTAAGCAGGTAGAACTTAGTAGTCACAGCAATAGTCAACTTATATTACCCTCCAGCAAGATTTGTGTTCCCATATAAAACTGTATACCAGTAAAAAAGCAGTCCACCACACAATAGAGAAAGTAAATCCATGATAAATTAACACTGCATAGTTCGAAGTCACTCTTCAACATTAACCAGTTCATACTCAACCAGTGACAGATTGTTGTCCTCTTTAACCTCGAAGTCGGCTGGTTCAGCGACTTCAATTCGTCCCCATTTATCCACTGCTAACCTCATAGAACCTTTGAACATGTCAATCTTAGCATTCCGCAGGGTCACAGTGTTTCCTGGCTTCATGAGATCAACTGCAAAAATTACAAACATTGGTTCAGAATGACATGAAAACGCCATAAGCTCTGAACCTTTTCATTTTGCTGGTGATGGGTAGAGAGCAATGATTGAAGATTTTACTCCACAGCCTCTAGAACTCCCACAGGAAGTTGAACACAAACTCAAATTTCCCACTAATGTAAGTTCTTGCTTCCATTTCAATAACCAACAATAACAAAATATCATCATCCAGCTTCAGAATATCTTTTGATGCAAAAGAATTTAGAGAAGTACGTTGCTTGTTTATACACAACCATAAGAACATAACCATTCAAACACAAATTAACTGAACAAAAGATCCCCCAAGCTTATATAATTTTTTTTTGGGACTCATTGTAACTACAAAGGAAATTTCTCAATTACCAAGGAAAAGTTTCCATTCCTAGTTATAAAAAAAAAAGTTACAGAGAAGAATACTTAGTTCACCAAGAACAAAGCAAAAAAGAAAATCACTCACAGCAAAACATTCCAACAGAAACAAAGAGCTCTCAATTATAAAAAAAAATATCTAAGCAAAAGGAAATCCATATCCATCCAGTCTATCCAACTATTTTAGTAACCATACACAAAATCACCTCAACAAGAACATGAAGACATCCAAAAGATGAGAAAAATTAGGTTCACAAACATCCTACATCAACACAGAAACGTACCTTGGTCATTTCGAGCTGTGAAGACGATAGAACCAGTCTCATCACCAACAAGACATTCAGAGATGCGAGTTAATTGCTGAGGGCGAGCCGTAGGCATGGCGGATCGTCCTCCTTTATTGACAACCTTGACATTTTTGGAGCTCACGACCTTCACGGTGAGAGTGTGGCCGCTCGAACCAGGCTTTAGGTCTTCAACTTTAATAAACACAGGCTTCCTCTTTGCCGGGGCATTCACTGCTGGCGTCGCCATGGAAATCGAGGTAACAGAACGAAACCCTGTCGCCGATGAAATGGAAACGTGAAAATGGAGAATGAAATCGAACCTGAGGATCAAAACCCTAACCCTAAGAATTTACTTTCGGGTTGCACTCGCAATTGGGATTTTCAGATATTGGGCTTTATAAATATGGGCTCGATTATATAGTTTGGGCTTTGGGCTTTGGGCTTTGGGCTTTGGTCTTTGGGCTTTTCAATCTTCAAATGAAACATAAAATATAAGAAAATAACTCTAATAATTGAATAATGAATCTAATTTATCATTGAAGTATATTTTTTAGTTAAATAATTTAATTAAGAAAGAGAACTCTCCCAATATAAAATAATAAATGTAAGTAATTAATATTATACCCAAATGAATGATTTATTTGTTTATTAAATAATTATTGTCGAATATTTTTCATATTAATGATATGGGAAACATAATTAATGGTATTAATATGAGCTCCACAAAACAAAACCAAAACCATAAATGGATAAATAATTCGGGACATGTGGGCCAAAAAGCTCTAGGCAATTCTCACGATCACGATCACGATCGATCATGGTTCACTGTTTGTTGGGCGCTTTTCTTGCTTTTTATGAAGTCGCGCTTACTAATAATGATGAAAGAGCTTATTTCTTCAAATATCCTATATAAAAAAAAAGTTGGGGCGGCATAAGCTCAACTTCTTCGATTAGGCTACCACCCGGGGTCTCTAACCTGATTTAACGAGGGTTTCACTATCTCTTTGATTAGGGCTGAGTGGGAAACTCGAGATCGTAAATGGATTCGAGTGCCTCCTTTTACCCACGAACAGCTACTAGACTGCCTTACTTTGCCACCACAATGTAGAACGGGAATAGCGTGTACAAAAAGATGGTAAAAAAAAGAAAAAAAAAATCCCAATTATTTATGAATTTTGTTTATAGTGAAAATAGGAGTATATACTAGAAAACTTTCCATGCATCAATTGGACCAACTTTTTGGGCTTGTACATGGATCATAGAAACGGGCCCAAATCCCGAACTCGTCATTTATGGGCTAAAACCCGACCCGACCCGACCCGACCACAAAGGATTCTCTGTACCCGGTTATAAGTGCATAAGAAAATTCTCATTCCTGAGGTTCGAATTTAGACAGCTTTCTTTCTTCTGTTAGCTTGCTCGATCATATTCTGTGTGCTAAGAAGGTACTCTTCGGCTGTTCTTTTCCTTCAAATTCATAACCATGTCCGTGCATGTCGATTTTAGGGATTTCTATGTATACTTATCTTCGTTAGATGTTCTTTTGTTCGGTTATTTTCTCTGGTGCTGAAGAAGATGATGAGTTCATTAATTCGAGTGAATATTTTGGATTTTCGTAGTAGGTTGCCAGTTTTTTTGAATTCGTAGTCTTTAATTGCTTGCATCGCATGTAACGGTGGATTTCGATGAGTACCGATGCAAAATGGTTATAGTAGTAAGAGTTTCATCAGAAAGCTGAAAGGGGATTTTCTGTTGTGCTAGTTAAACCCCACGCGAGGGTCATATTTGCTGATTGGTTACTCATAAGTGTTGTCTGCCTCTTTTTCCTTTTTTGGCAAATCTGTTCTGATATTCATAGTTAATTCAGATTTTGCTAGTGATCTTCTTCACATAGTTGTTTATCGAACAAACTCCCCTTTATTTTCTAGCTTAGTTTGTGAAGCTATGTTTCTGGTGGCTGATTTTCCATTATCTTGATAGAATAATTTGCAACCATGCCAAAGAACAAGGGAAAGGGAGGTAAGAATAGGAAGAGAGGTAAGAATGAGGCAGATGATGAGAAGCGTGAGCTTGTGTTTAAGGAAGATGGGCAAGAATATGCTCAAGTGCTCCGAATGCTAGGTAATGGTCGGTGTGAAGCGATGTGTATCGATGGGACTAAACGTCTTTGTCATATTCGGGGGAAAATGCACAAGAAAGTTTGGATTGCAGCTGGGGATATCATACTCGTTGGTCTTCGTGACTATCAAGATGACAAAGCTGACGTGATTCTCAAATACATGCCTGATGAAGCTAGGCTTTTGAAAGCTTACGGTGAGCTACCTGAGAATACACGTCTTAACGAGGGTATTGTTGGGGGTATGGATGATGACGATGAAGGTGGTGGTGATGCTTATATTGAGTTTGAGGACGAAGATATTGATAGGATCTAGATGCTAGTCCTCTGTTTCGAATAATATCTTAGTAAAGAATAACTATACTATAGTGGGGTGAAGTTGTATTATCGAATTCCATTTCATAGTAGTCCGAGAATGGAGATGGAATCGGTTATAACCCATGAAACGTCTGGTCTTTTGTACTATATGATTGCATATGCCCCTTCTGGGTCAATAAATACCTCTATTCTATCATATGCATATTTAAAGAGAAGCCAGCTCTTTATGACTACCCAATTTCTGAGATGGTCTAGTACCATTCTTCTTCTTGTTCTTCTGTTTAAGTGCTATATGTGAGCTTTGAATAGATATCCATCTTGAGGAAGAAGTACTTCGTTTTGACACTAAAAAGAATTGCATTTTTTCTTCTGTTGTCTTGTGTTGCTTCAATGGTGTTTATCAGTCTGAACTAAGGTCAATGATAAGCATTTTACTTTGGATCGAAACGTTGATCTTGAAGGAGTTATAATTGTACAGAGATTTCTGCCATTAATCTATAATGCTTATTTTTGTTAGAAATTACGACTCTCCACAATGGTATGATATTGTCCACTTAGTGGCTTTGCTTTAGGTTTCCCCAAAAGACTTCATACCAATGGAGATAGTATTCCTCACTTATAAACCCATGATCTTCCACTAAATTAACTAATATAGGACTCACTCCCAATAATTCTCAACAATCCTCCCCTTGAACAAATTACATTATAAGCCTCCCTTGAGGCTTATGGAGCTCTCGAATAGAGTCCCCCTTAATCGAGGCTCGACTCCTTTCTCTGGATCCTTCGAACAAAGTACACCTTTTGTTCGACACTTTAGTCACTTTTGACTACACCTTCGAGGCTCACAATTCTTTGTTTGATATTTGAGGATTCTAGTGACATGATTAAGTTTAGGGCATGACTCTAATACCATGTTAGAACGAACACGACTCTCCACAATGGTATGATATTGTCCACATTGAGCATAAACTCTCATGGGTTTGGGCTTTCCCAAAATGCCTCATATCAATGGAAAGAGTATTACTTGATTATAAAATCATGACTATTCATTAAATTAACCGACGTGGGACTTTCATTATCCAACACTTTCACTATTCATCCATCTTATGTTTAGGTGGTTGCTAACTGTTTATGACCGTTCTTATCCCCAAGGGGTTGCCCTAACATAAATAATATCAAAGATGATTGGTAGATGGTTTCAATTTCAATATGCATCTTTACATTTGAATCAAACAATTGGGGTACAAATGAAATTGAAAACTAAAGCCAGTAAAAGAACAACTAAAAAGGAGAAGAAAGTTCAGCTTGGCATTTCAACAAACAGGTTGCCGACAATAACAAAAAAAAAAAACAATTCAGGACAAAATCGAAAAAAACCAAAATCCCATCTTACATTGTTCTCATGGTTCCTGAACGAGCGATTCCTAAAGAACACATTCCTAACCAATCCTCCTTTAATTCCCATTTCAATTCAGTAAAAACAGCAAAACCCAGAACAGAAATCCTCGGAAAACAGCCTTCTTTTAGTCTTAACTCTACTGAAAGTCATGCCCAGAGAGAGAGCGAGAGAGAGAGAGAGAGAGAGAGAGAGAGAGAGAGAGAGAGAGAGGGAGAGAGACCTGCAAGTAATTGCCACAACTCAGATGCTGCAAAATGGGGGCAGGGGCAGAGTGTTTCTAGAGCAGGGCATGGGCTAAATCTCAAATGAAATAAAGGCAACCAAAGAAAAAAAATATTTTTTATTTTTTTATTTTTTCTTTTCGGATTAAATTAAAATTTTATATTTAATTCTTATCATATCGTGAAATCATCTTAAGCGTCTTTACGTCTGGTTAGATATAAAAATAAAAATTTAAAATTTAGTTTTTATTATTTGGTGATTTTTTTTTTTTTTTAAATTTTGTACTAATTCTTTAGGTGTAACAATTGTTTTTGAAATTTAGTCCGTATAGTTTAAAATTTTAAATTTAGCCCTCTTAATATGGTCTAATTTTCAAAAGCGTGTTTGCTTGGAGATCCGAATGAAGACATGTTCGGATCCGAAAAGCGGGTTACCCGTTTCATCCGGGTTCGCTTAGTTCTACATTATGTACCTGCCGTTTCTACTGGATCCATTCTGCGGGATTTTCCTCTTATAAATTGCTAAAGCTTCAAACTTCCTGCTCCTCCGCTTACTCCCCACTCATCATCGTTATCGTAAGCTCTTCGCTCTTTGAAATTTTGCTTCTTGTTGATTGTCGATTCAATTTCAATAGCGTAGTTTTGTTTGTCGGAAGTGGAATTTTAGGGGAAGTGTGGGGAATTTCTTCATTTTTACAATTAGTATTTTGTTGGGTCTTTGCAAATTTGCCCACTAGGAGCTTTTTTGGTCAAGCTTAGGCCTAAGCTTGAGAGGGTCTTTCCCCCCTTCTTCTCTATGAATCTTGTCCATTTTCACGGAGGTTTTGGTTAATTGGCGTTTTATATTGTAGGACGTATGTACATGAGATTTTGAAGCAAGAAAATGAGTATTGTTCCTAAAGAAAATGTTGAGGTCATTGCGCAATGTATTGGGATCAATAACTTGTCCCCAGATGTCGCATTGGCAGTTGCTCCTGATGTGGAGTATCGTTTGCGGGAGATCATGCAGGTAATTTTCTTGTTTACGGAATGGATGTTGGCATTCATGCTAGATAATGTGCAGCTAAACTGAATGAGAGGTCACACATCTTTGTTCTGGTGGTTCTAGATTATGATACCTAAAACTCTGTAAACATAATGTGACTTGTAGAATATGAAATGATGGATGAGCTAAATCTTTCTCTTACTCGAATTTTAGGAGGCCATCAAATGTATGCGTCACTCCAAGAGAACTACGTTGACAGCCGATGATGTTGATGGTGCACTAAACCTGAGAAATGTGGAGGTAAATACAATGAGTTTTAAATTTTGATGATTTTGATTTAGGGTGATTTAATAGACTGTAGTTGCCATTCTGATGAAAGATGCACCGTTTAAGGAATCCATAAGTTTCGTATTGTAAAAGGATTTAAATTGGGACCATCTGAATTTTTCTTACCACTTCCTGTATCTTTGATACCTACTGCATCGTATTGACATTGGCAATCAAAATGATTGGATCACTTGAAATATCCAAGAATTGATGATGGAAGACCTTCCACTTAATTGAATAAGGGAAGGGGAGAGGGAAGCGAAGTTTAGTGAGTTTTCTGCTAGCCGACCACTACATAAGCCGCTACCCTCGAGCTTTCTTTGCCAGCTTCCTTTCATTCGCTTCGCGGGAGCCGCACAACACATCACTAGAAATCAGAGGACCCAGACTACCTGCCTAACCCCTTGTTAATCACTCCATTCATCCAAAAGAGATTGGACCTATGTATTTACGCGACGCCTGCAGATTTGACTATACCTACACTCGGAGCCAATCCCCTGTTGATCCTGTCACCACGCCCCAAAATGGGAGCTCGTGTGGAATCTTTTCATTCTAGCGTAATAGAAGGGCGATTAAAAAAAAATCTCCTTTAACGTACCTTTTTTCCTTTTTTCAATTTGTAATAAAAGGAACATTATTCACTCTTCCTTTTTGATGTTGATGTGGCAGCCAATGTATGGCTTTGCATCTGGAGGCCCCTTGAGATTTAAAAGAGCTATTGGACATAGGGATCTGTTTTACCTTGAGGACAAGGACCTGGAATTTAAAGATGTAAGTAATTTTTTCACCATTCTAGCTGGTCCATTCTGGTCAACGTCTTTAAATGAATGTGAACGTGTGTTCTACTCATAGGTCATTGATGCCCCATTGCCAAAAGCTCCTCTTGATACTGCAGTTTTTTGCCACTGGCTAGCGATTGAAGGTGTACAGCCTGCAATACCAGAAAATGCTCCTGTAGAAGGTTTGTATAAAATCTGACTAAAATGTGATTGTTGTTGGTACTCCCAAGTCTGGCAGATAGTTTTATTTGGATACCCAAAATTTAAACAACTGAAATTTCGATAGCAGCCATTTACATGGTAGCATGTAGAAGATATTTTTGTGTTCGTTGGTTTTGAAAAAAAAATATATTTTCAGCAAGAGTTCAAGGGCCCAAATGAAAATCGACTACAGTTAACAAAACAAAGTCTTTTTCCATTGTTGGTTATGGAGGAGTTTGCTTATGATCGAAGGGTTGTATGGTTAAATTTATTTTAATATTTCCAATAGGAAGATAGAATTGGATGTACTTTTATTCTTTATTCTTTCATTTACTCTTTCCCTTTTTCCCTTTCCCTTTTTCCCTATTCCCTAGTTGCAGTAGTGTTAGGAACCACGACTCTCTCCACAATGATATGATATTGTTCTGATAGTTTTGCTTTGGGCTTCCCCAAAAGGCCTCATTTATAAACCCATGATCATTCCTTAAATTAGGCAATGTGGGACTCCCTCCCGACAATTCTCAACAAGTAGTCCAAGTTATTTAATAACCTGTATATTGTCCTTCCTATCTACAGTAATTTTACCACCTTCTGATGTCAAAATTAATGAACAAAAGGAGGGGCTTCCTGTTGACATTAAATTACCAGTTAAGCATATACTGTCCAAGGAGCTTCAGGTAATTGATTTGTTATTTGCTTATATTGTTCTGTTAAAGTTCAATCGGTTGCTAACTTACATGTTTTCATTACGTTGTTTGCAGCTATATTTTGACAAAATCACGGAGCTTGTTGTTAGTAGGTCTAATTCAGTTCTTTTTAAGAAGGCATTAGTGAGTTTATCTACGGACTCAGGACTTCACCCATTGGTTCCTTATTTTACATGCTTTATAGCTGATGAGGTATGAATGTTTGAGCATACAAGATCTGCAGATTCCATTAGAAGTTCTTATGAATTTTTATTTAGATTTTTTTGTTCTTGATTCTCCAACGATATCAGGTTGCACGTGGACTGGGTGATTATTCCCTTCTTTTTGCTTTAATGCGTGTTGTTTGGAGTCTTCTTCAGAATCCTCACATCCACATCGAACCTTATGTGAGTTGAATTCAATGTATCTGTTAAGTCATCTTTTTTATCTAAAGGTTGAGTTGAGGCTCACGAATGTCTAAGTTAGCGGTATGTTGACAACTCGTAGATGTTCTATAGCAGCCAGGTCACTATCATCATCCTGGCCTGCTTTATCTTCCATGATTCTCATAATTCTTCAACTTGTTCAAAGGATATTTAGTTTGCATTCTATTCTTACATTGTGAGTCAGCCATGTTTTGAGGCAACTATAAGGATAATATTTATGGTTTTGCTTGGTGCTGTCTGTGGAAGGTGTTAATCTGTCTCTGAGGCAGGTGTCTTTTCTTGTCAGCTACACCAAATGATGCCATCTGTTGTGACCTGCCTCGTCGCAAAAAGGTTAGGGAATAGGCTTTCAGACAACCACTGGGAACTTAGAGACTTCACAGCAAAAGTGGTTGCTCTAATCTGTAAAAGGTGATTGATTTTGCCAGATCTACATATCAAATGCTTATCAATTTTGAGTATGGCCATACACAATTAGGGCTTGCCTTTTTGTATGGTTTTGGAAGTGCATGTATTGTATGGCCTATCAACATGATTTGATTATATATTCTATTCGTTTGCTTTTTATCAATCACTTGTAGTATTTGCATTTCTTCATTTCAACCTCCTTTTTGAATTAAATAGTTCAGGCGTATGTAGAAAGCATATCAAACTGGATTTGGTATTTATAAATTTTACTTTACATCGCTATGGAGACAATAGGTTACTTTAATATTATGTTTTCATTAAACCTGCTTGGCCATGATGGAGGGACATATTATAAGATCCCACATTGGTTGGAGAGGGGAACGAAACATTCCTTATAAGAGTGTGAAAACCTCTCCCTAGTAGACGCATTTTAAAATCTTGAGGGAAGCCTAGTAGGGAAAGCCCCAAAAAGAAGAATATCTGCTAGCTGTGAGATTGGGCTGTTACAAATTATATTAGAGCCAGATACCGGGCGGTGTGCCAGCGAGGACGTTGCGCCCCCAAGGGGGGTGGATTGTGAGATCCCATGTTGGTTGGAGAGAGGAACGAAGCATTCCTTATAAGAGTGTGGAAACCTCCCTCTAGCAGACGCGTTTTAAAACTTTGAGGGGAAGCCCATAAGGAAAAGCCTAAAGAGGATAATATCTTCTAGTGGTGGGTTTGGGCTGTTATACATATACTTGCCATTGTTTAGGGATGTGGTTAGAGAGGAGTTTGAGAGATCAATTTCTTGTTAGATTTAATGCATCTCTTTGAGCATCTATTATGGAGACTCTTTGAAATTATCCTTTAGGCCGTGTTTTTTTCAGATTGGACCCCTTTTCTGAATAGTTAGTATTGGATGTGGTCGTTACCATTTGTTGGGCTGTTTTCTTTATGCCCTTCTGTGTTCTTTCATTTTATTCTCAATGGAAGCATGTTCTGAATAAAAAACAACCTATTAGGCTAAAACAAATGTTTAGACCATGGTACAATTCTTTGTCGTCTGCCATTTTCCTTTCAAGGCGTCTTGCTTTTGCTGTATGATTGCAGTTCCAATGTTGCAGGTTCGGTCATGTTTACAACACTCTGCAGACAAAGCTCACAAAAACTCTTCTCAATGCATTTTTAGACCCAAAACGGTCTCTGACTCAACATTATGGTGCAGTTCAAGGCTTAGCAGCCTTGGGGATGAATGTGGTATGCTCTTCTCACACGCTTCATTAATTAGACTATGGGGTTGAAGGTTGGAGAAGGATGCAAAAAAGAAAATGACTTAATGGAAAGAAAACTAACGTGTTTGTCTCGAAAGTATGCAAAGCCATACCATGGGAGAAGGGAAGAGATTTAGGGAAATATTTGCCTCTGTATGCTATTCGAGATTTAAAACATACCATGTCATGTTGAATTTTAAACAATGCGTCGGAACGACATGTTGATTTCATCTGATTTGAATTTGCACATTCATGAATTTCATCCTTGATTTAGAGAGGGTATTCCTTTAACGATGTCCCTTGTGATATTCTTTTTCTCCTCGTTCCCAGCTGATTATTTGCATATCTCTCATTTGTAATTTCATTAGAAGTAGAAAACTGCAATGGTCTTTTGACTTCTTAGTTATTTATGATTGGTATATTTCAGTAATTCATGCATAGATATCAGTTTATAATAGTGATATTCTATATAGGTTCACCTCCTTGTACTACCAAATCTTGAGCCATATCTGAGATTTTTGGAACCTGAGATGCTTCTTGCTAGTCAAAAGAATGAGATGAAACGGCATGAAGTTTGGCGTGTTTATGGAGCCTTGCTAGTGAGTTATTTTGTTTGGATTTCATGCAACTTTCTCAGTTTCTTACCAGAATGTTCTGTAGAAACTGATGTAATCTTATAATGACATAATACATTTTTCAGCGAGCGGTCGGTCAATACATATACGATCGTGTCAAGATTTTTCCTCCTCTGCCTAGTACGCTTGCGGGTTCTGTCCTTCGGACGAATGCAAAAGTTATCACCACTACATTCTCAAGTACGTTCTTTGCAACTTTCTTTGAATTGAACTACTGAGATACAAAAAAACCATCAACTTCAGTCTTCTTTTCTCTAAGCTGGAAATTTTTCTTCCCAGAATGACTTAATGTAAATATTTGATACATCCTAAGTTTTGGAGTCTTTTAGTTCTCGATGAAGTTCACGTGCTAAAATTCATCTATTTTTTACGCATGTAATGTTAGACAAGCGCAAGTCGAATGCAGACCAGTTAGAAGGGCAGCCTCCCCTCAAGAAGATGGTAATCGATGGCCCGATGGGTGTCACGCCAACTAATTCATCGGCATCATACATGGAAGGAACAGTTATTCCAGCTGCCTCTGGCAATTCCAATCTGATTTCGCCTACATCTTCTCGACCGACGCAAGACGAAATGATTTCAGGCAGCACTAGTAGTAAGGGCAAGCGTGACGATCAAATTCTTAAAAGGTCAGCTGTCCTATCTCAAGTCTGGAAAGAGGATCTTAATTCTGGAAAGTTGTTAACGTCTATGTTAGATTTGTTTGGTGAAAGTATGTTCTGCTTCATTCCATCTCCTGAATTGTCCCTGTTCTTGTAGTAACTATCATCTATTTGCAAGTAGAAAATACAGTTCGTGTTGCGGTAGAATTACGTGTAAGCTAACGGCTATATATATACGTTTTTTGGAATCTAGAGGAAATTTTTATGCATTGACACTCATTTGCTGAAAAGAACTAATACAGTTCTTTGCATAAGAGCAATCAGAATGCTCAAGTTGTCATTATAGCAACTTCTCTCTCAACAGCCTTCATCAAGAAGCTGCCCTCTTCTAGCACCATTTGAACAGGTAAAGCTCCAATCCCATTAGCCATAGCTAGCATCATCCTTTTGTTCTCAGCCTTAAACTCATCCAGATCAACCGTTCCACTCGAGTTACGATCAAACTGCAAAAACATAGAACTATAGACAGAAGAAAGCTCATCTGGATCAGGCTTCACGTCGATTCCAAAATCGGCCTCGATGACCCTGAGGCTCTGCAATTCCTTCAACATCTCACTATAGGAAAGGAGACCGTCATGATTCGTGTCGAGGTGAGCAAACCGGTCTCCTATGAAGGCACCAAAGGCTGCCTCATCTTCGACAAAGTTGACAATGGTGGCACTGTCCAATATCTCCACACTCATTTTAGCTGCTGGTTCTGATCTTTAGCTGAAGAACAGAGGAGATAGGAAGGTAATGGGGAATGAGCTTGAATTGGGTCAGGTTATCATATAAATAATCTCTCTGGAACCTTCATCGCTGTGGCCATTTGTTTTTTTTTCAGCTTTTTTTGACCAAAAAAAGCCCAAACAAAGAAGGAATTATTCCATTTTACCAACACTTCACCTTTTGAAAGTGAATCATATTCCATCAATGTGAATCCTAAATTTTTTAGGCATCAATGCTTAAACATGTTTTAAAAATTTCATCCAAGCTATTTTAAAATTGAATAAATTATTTAGAGGGTATTGGAAGATGCTCACGGCATAGCTCAAGAGTCGGAGAAAGAAAATTATTCTCTTATTCACACCATTTTGAAAAAACGAAAAAACTTGTATGTTTAACTAACTTTACTTTGTTCTATACAAATAGAAAAATATATCAAACAATATCAATATTCATGATTCTTCGTCGAGACTTAAACGTCTATCAATGTACTTAGTAATTTGTGTATCTCACTGTTCATGTTATTATTAAATGTATCATCCTTTAATATGAATTTGAACAATTCTTTTTTTTTCTCACCCGAAGTTTAGCAAATACATCAACTTCAGTACTCTCAAGTCCACTATCGCTAGCAAATATTATCCTCTTTGGACTTACCCTCAAGGTTCTTAAAACGCGTCTGCTAGGTAGAGATTTCCACACTCTTATAAAGGGTGTTTCGTTCTTCTCTCAAACCGATGTAGAATCTTACAATCTACCCCCCCTTCAGGGCCCAGCGTCCTTACTGGCACTCGTTCCTTTCTCCAATCGATATGGGACCCTCACCAAATCCAACCCCTTTGGGCCCAACGTTCTTACTGGCACACAGTCTACCTCGTGTCTACCCCCTTTAGAGAAGAGCTTCCTCACTGACATTCGTTTCTTTCTCCAATCGATGTGGGACCCCCACCAAATTCACCCCCTTTGAAGCCCAGCGTCCTTACTGCCACATCGCCTGCCTCGTGTCTACCCCCTCAGGGAACAACCTCCTCGCTGGTACATCGCCCGTTGTTTGGCTCTGATACCATTTGTAACGACCTTAGCCCACCGCTAGCAGATATTGTTTTTTTTTGGGCTTTTCCTTTCAAGTTTCTCTTCAACGTTTTTAAAACACATTTGTTAGGAGGAGGTTTCCACACTCTTATAAAGAATGTTTTGTTCTCCTCCCCAACCGATATGAGATCTCACACAAACCTTAGAGTAAATCAATGAAATTAAAAGTTTATGATAAAAATCGATACAAACCGATAAATTTGTCGAATTTATTATTTTTCTCTTGCCCAAGTAAACCAACAAAGAAGAAATCATTTATACAAACAAAAAAGAAGCTCAATTAGCAGCCACTTTCATGGCTTCTCTCTCTACAGCTTTCTTCAAGAAGCTATTTTGTTCAGCCATACACAGAAGAAAGCTGATTTGGGTCAAGTTTCACATCAATTCCAAAATGGGTCTCAAACATCCTAACACCCTGCAGCTCCCTAAGCATCTCTCCATACGAAAGAACGCCGTCTCTGTCGACGTCAAGGTGACTAAAACGCTCTTGAATCGTCGCGCTAAAGGCTTCTTCATCTTCCACAGAGCTTTTGGTGCGTTGTTTAGTTTAAGGATGTTTGATGGTTTTATTTCTAAATGTTTTTGACTGTGTTCCATGGATTATAAGAAGAAGAAGAAGTCAAAATCTTTGTGGAGGCAATTGCGGAGGTTGGTCGCATTAGGAATAGAGGTTTAAGAAATCCCTTCAAATCTAATGGCTAATAATGAAACATTTGATAGTCAACCTGCATTCATTATTATTATTATTTTAAAATTCTCCATGTTCTATCTTTAATTTTTTTTTTTAATATTAAAGGTGGTAAATAGAAATTAAAAGAATTACCATTTTAAAAATATATTTTTGATCTATATTCTTTCCATCTATTTTAGCTAACTTTCAATCAAATATCTAACATAGATATCTGACATATTTAGTAAACATCCGTGGTCATTGGTTTGGAGGTCGGGTGTTTGCTCTCCGCAACTCCTAAGCTCTATGGCCTATTTGAGCTACCTCATAACACATACGTGTGTCATAGTGAGCGTTTTGCAAGACGAGTGTTTTGAGGTCTTCCATTAGAAATAGGTTTCTTAGGATATTGTTGGGCGGCATGCATGTGCTAATACTATGCCCTGTCCCTAGAATCGAAGGTTGATATATATTGTTGTTATCTAGCCAAGTATGTAAAAATGACTCGATATGGACATAAGAGGTCATGTCTCAATAATACTTGAGTGGTGGGATAATTGAGATGACTTAATGATAAAAATTCTCATAGATTGGTTTTCGATAAGCGTGTTTGAGCAAGCAACAAAGACCAATGACATTCCAAGGCTTGGAATGACATCATTGATGGGATTCGAAAGTTCTTGGTTAGTACTATACAGAGTTGATATGTTTCAATAGGCATTGTAATGCTTTGATAAGCTCTAGATTGCATCAATATGCCATGATAAACGTTATACCGTTTCCAAAGGTTTTAGTAAGTGCAAATATCACCCAATAAGCTCTAGTTGGGTATTTTCAGGCTGTTTTGACCCAATAAAGGGTCCGACTCATCTCGAGAAAAATCTAGATCCATGTAGAAGCATGTGAGCCATGTTGTTAAGAACCAAGATTATGTAATCATATGTGATGCTGCATTTGAAGGACCTTGGCTTGGAGTAGAGGCAAGGTTGAACCTTAAGACTTGACATAGAGTAAAGTCAAGTTGACTAGAGCCGCATTCGAATGAAAATATTCGTATACGTAACGTGTGATACCCGAGTAAAGGAGGGATACATGAATGAGCCGATATCACATCCAAATGAGAGTGATCGTGATGATAGGATAACTAAGAAAAATTAAAAGAATTGAAAAAGTTACTACTTATACCAACCACTTGTACTTTTTTTTTTTTTTTTTTGTGGCTCAATCATAGGAACTTTAAAATTAAGCGTGTTTTGCTTCGAACAATCTTATGTTGGGTGATTTTTTTGAAAATTTTCTTAGAAAACATGTGAGCGGGGACAAATCATACTGAACGTGATTATACGGTAAAGGAAGTAGAGTCTGTCAAATCACTTTCATTAAATATACTTCACCAATTAAGTAAACTCTTTAATTCAAAAGTTGAATCAAATTCAAAGTTAAACACAATTACATAATACACAACAATACAAAGTATAACAAAATCATCAAAGAGTACTTTGAATTAAGCACCAACTTTGGTGGATTCTCTCTCCACCGCTTTCTTCAAAAGACTATTCTCTTCCAACACCATTTGAACCGGCGAAAGCCCTATTCCATTCGCCATTGCCACCATCATCTTCTTGGTTTCTTCCATGAACTCACCAACATCAACTTTCCCATCGCGGTCTCGATCAAATTGCAGAAATAACGAGCCATAAACAGAAGAGAGTTCGTCCGGATCAGGTTTCACATCAATTCCAAAGTGCGTTTCAAACACCCTAAGACTTTGTAACTCCCTTAACATTTCTTCATAAGAAAGAACACCATCTTCATCGATATCAAGGTGACTAAAACGCTCTCGAACTATTGCACCAAAAACTTCGTCATCTTCCACAAAGTTGACAATGGTGGCACCATCCAAAATTTCTACGCTCATTTTGAATCGTGATGGGAAAATATTCAAAAGAAAAGAGGAGAAGGCCGAGATTGGGAAGAAGTGAAATGTTCATTGTGATATATATAGAGAGAAATTTGATTCCGGAGGAACTACTTCGTTAGGATTGGGAAAATGCTACGATTCGTCCTGAATAGCGTGGATTCTCCCCTTTTGCGTGTTGTTTAAGGATTATTTGGGTACTTTAAGGGTTTGAGCCGTTGGTTTCTTGTCTCCATGTTTCTGACTGTCTTCCAACCAACAAATGGCATTATTAGTTGGTCGGACTCGGGAGAAGAGTTTTAAGAAATCCCATCAAATCAAATTGCTCCACTTTAGTAATAAAGTATTAATAGTCCATTACAACTACAAAGACCTAATTAGTTTTTTATTCTTCATGCCCCATGCTTTAGTTTTGTTAATAGAGCTATTTTCAATTTTATAATTTAACTTGAAAAAAAAAAAAAAACCTCATAAAATCGCATATTTTCATTCAAAGTGGAACGACCCATGTTTAAGATTTGGATCACGATTTAGAATCTAGATTTGACACTATGAAGTTCTTATGATTGAGTCACTGAAAATGACGGTGCATCTTGTTAACATAGGTAGTCATTTTCAATTCTTTTAAGCATTTTAAATTCATTCTATCATCCGAGTCGCTCTTATTTGGTTGTGGTCTCGATTCATTCATGTATCTCTCACTATTCAATCAAAAAGAGTCTTAACAATAAGGAGACCGCATAAAAATTATCCCCAAAAAGGAATTGATTGGTGGTAGTTGGTTGAAGCTCCAATAGATAGCCACTC